ACACACACACACACACACACACACACACACACACACACACACACACACCCTCTCGCTTCCTGTGCTTTTTAAGGATGAAGCAGTGATTATACTCCTCCTGGACAGCCAGGAGTTCAGGATGAAGCTTCTGGGGAAGGACAGCCAAAGGTTCAGGGATGGAGCATCCGAGAAAGATGTCAGGAGTCCAGAATTCGGAGAATTTCTGAATCTGTTACTGACTCACTGGGCAACGTCGGAGAAAATAACTACCTCTCAGAGCCCAAGGGTGGTTGGACGTAGAGGATGGTGCTGACTGACAATAGGTAACAGGAGGGAGAAGGGAGAAACTTTGTTTTTTTTTTTTAAACTTACTATTTGTTTATTTTTTAACATTCTTTTTTAAAAAATGATGAATTCTGAATTCTTTTTCTCCCTCCTTCCCATCCCTACCCTACCCATTTTGGAGGAAAAAAAAAGGCAATGACAATTACACGTGTGAAATCATGCAAAATAAATGTTAGATATATTGCAAAACAAAATAAGAAAAATTTAAAAAGTGAAAAAATTATGCTTCAATCCTCATTCAGGTTCCATCGGTTCTTTCTCTGGAGGTGGATAGCATCATGAGTCCTTTGGGATTGTTTTGAATTGTTGTATTGCTGAGAATAGCTAAGTCATTCACAGTTGATCACTGTATAATATTGCTACTATTGTGTACAATGTTTTCCTGGTTCTGCTCGTTTCACTTTGCATCAGGTCATATAAGGGGGGCTTTGTGAAGAAACAGGGATCAGAGAGAAGGGGGGATGGATGGAGCTTTTCACCCTCTTTCTGGCCTTCTGACCTTGTCTCTCTGATCCCATTAGGTCCAGTCCTGGGCTCAGAGATTGTGGGAGGAAGGACAGCTGTGCCTCACTCTCGTCCATACATGGCCTCTCTGCAGCAGCGTGGTAGTCACTTCTGTGGGGGGACGCTGATTCATCCTCGCTTTGTGATGACCGCAGCCCACTGCCTGAGTGGCAAGTGAGTAACCAAAGGGGTTGGGGCAGAAGGCACCTGCCCCAGGGAGCAAGAGAAAAGAGGGCTCTGACATGTAGCTCCCCATGGGAATGCAATCAGTGTATGGGGAATAGCTCTATCACCAAGGCCCACAGAGCGGGAGTAGTTAGCCCTGGGCACTCAGTGAGTTTCCTCTGCTGTAAAATGCATTGTTTGGACGAGGTGATCTCTAAGGAACATTCAAGTTCTAACATTCTCTGTTCTGACATTCTGTGTTCTAAAGTTCCTCCCAGCTCTAATATTCTGGGTTCTAGGTCTAGCCCATTTGGCGGTTTCTCCCAGGTTTGACATAATGTGTTCAAAGGTGCCAGGGTCTCAGGAACTCTTACCCAGGTCAGGGGATGAGTGAAGGGCTCAGAAGCTCTTGCCAGACACCTGTCGCTGGGCTTGTGAGACAGAAACATCAATAAAAATCCTATGATTTTTTTCCGTGCCCAAAATCCTTGGTAATTTGTGGTGAAACTCAGCAGACGAGACTTCATATGATAGAAGGGAAAGACCACTTCCTCTGGGGTCAGAGCACCAGGAGTTCCAATCCTACCCCTGATGCGCACTACTTGTATGACCCTGGACAAGTCACTTGATTTTCCCTGGATCTTAGCTTTCTCATCTATAAAACGGGGATACTGAACTCGATGCCTTCCAGTTCTAACTCTATGAATGCTCAATTTGAAAATCCAAAAGTCTGAGTTTCAGTCCCAGCTGTGTTCTTAGCCAATAACCATGTGCCAGGCATTGTGTTAAGCACATAGTAGGTGCTTTAAAAAGCTTATTGACTGACTATTTAGCTGTGTGGCCTTAAGAAAAATCTCTTCTTCCTCTAACATCCTAGGAGTTCATGATTCTGTAAGAAGAGAGAGGAAAGGAGACAAGACTCATGGAACCCAGCCAGAGCTGCCCTTCCCCCCAAACCTATGCTTTGCTTCACCCTCTTCCTCCCAGTCGCCCTAAGGGGTGGGTTAGGGCCAATTGGCTAGCTTAACTAGATGCTCTGCAGGAGCCAGAAATCCAGATTTTAAAACTGGTCCAGGCCTGGACGATGGCTAGTTGATCTCTACCCAGCTGGGCCTCTCCTCCACTGTCTTCAGCCTTCATTCCAAGCTTTTCTTCCCAACCTAGGAATCCTCAGCGTGTGCAGGTGGTGCTGGGGGCCCACAACCAGCGCAGACAAGAGCCCACCCAGCAGAGATTTCAAGTCCGGAGAGTTTTTGAGAATGGCTTCAACCCTCAGACCCTACGAAATGATATTTTAATCCTGCAGGTGTGTGACATGAACAGGAGTGAGGGATGGTGCCCAGACTCACAGGGGCCTGGAGATAGGGATCAAGCAAGCTCAGTGCCCTGGAGGGCGAATAGAAGAGCCAGAAGACCCAGGGATCAAATCCTGGCTCTGACACTGAGAAGCTGTGACTTTACCAGTTGCTCACTACCCCTCTCTGGGCCTCGGTTTTGTCATCTGTAAAATGGTCATCATAATATACTCCTTCCTTCTTTCCCTCCCAAAACGGTTGAAAAGAAATTGTTTCATTAACCAAGTGCTATAGAAATGGAAGCTAGGATTGTTTTTTACGAGCAGAAATCAAAGGGTTATAGACAGACTCTTGACAACAATAATTCACTTTCCCATGGGGAGGGGTTTTATTGAAGGTCTCCAAAGCACTTTCCTTACAACAAAGCCCTATCCACACCATACCCTTATTTCAAAAGCAGCATATGTAATAGAAAAAGCTCTGAAAAAGAGCCATTAACTAAGTCAGGGCAATCGGGTTACTGACCCAGAGCACTGAAGTTTAGAGGGCACAACAAATTCAAAATGATCATTTTTTTAAATTGTGAAGTTTAAAAAATAATTACATTTACATTTTGACAGCCCTTTCATTCCTTTAGCAGAGTAGAATCTAGTTGGCAAGAACTGAGGCACCATGGGGTAGTGGCTAGGGCAATAAAGTCAGGAAACCCTGGGTTCAAATGCCACCTCAGACACTTAACTGTGTGACTCTGGGCAAGTCACATAACCTCTGTTTGCCTCAGGTTCCTCATCTGCAAAATGAGAAGGTTGGACTTGATGACCTCTTGGGTACCATCCAGATCTAAATCTATGATCCTATGAACAATTAATTTAATTAGTTAAACTAATTAAATTAATTAGACTAGGAAACTACTGGATGGTCTGATTTCCTGCTCCTCTTGTCTCATACCCACCCTTACCTCTGTCATGACAGCATAAGAAGTGAAGAATACTTAGTAGGTGGAGGCCTCCTAGCAATGGCCTCACTATGCACTAGGACTTCTGTCCCCTACTATGGAGTTGTGTCCCTGAGTCTCTTCCTCCATTTTATAAAGGGCGTCTCATCCCCACAGGGGGCTGGTGTCCTGGGTTTTCTCCCCTCTCTACCTCCCTCTCCACTCCTCCCCCTAACTATGGTGGATTTGAAGGTTCATTAATATTTCTTACACTAGGAGCCAGTTTTGCATGAGGTCTGGGTTCAACTGAGTTTGAATCCTGGCTTTTTTACTCGCTACCTTTTTGAGCAAATTGTTTAACTTCTCTTTGCCTCAGTTTCTTCATCTGTACAATGGAAGGTGGGCTAGATGACCTTTAAGGTCTCTCCCATCTAGCACAGGATCCTAAGTAGGCAGGGAAATTACAATGATTATCTTCCTGTTCACAGTCACCTTCCCTTTCCTAGTGTCAACTTCCTCCACTGTGACACGACCCGGTTGGGGTTCCCAATCTAGGCCAGCCCTAACCGACCACTAGGCCAACCAGCTTCATCTCGGTGTTTGTTTTTGTCTCTCTGCTCCCAGCTGGAAGGCACGGCCACCATCAATGCCAATGTTCGGGTGGCCCAGCTCCCCCAGCAAGGCCAGAATGTGAGAGTTGGAACCCGGTGCCTGGCCATGGGGTGGGGGCGTTTGAACAACAACAGAGGCCCACCTGAGCAGCTGCAGGAACTCAACGTGACTGTGGTTACCACTCGCTGCCCCACCATCAGCCTCTGTACTCTGGTACCCCGCCGCAGGGCCGGAATCTGTTTTGTAAGTCTCCCTCCACCCCAGTCTGACTCTGGTCCCCATCGCCTGCACTCAAGCCTAGACCCTGTCCCAACTCTGCTCCCAGCCCCTAGCTCCTATCATGGGCCCACCAAGGAAAACATCCAATGAGGCTCAACAAAACTCAGTACATAGGAGCATAAGGGGATACAGAGGAAAGAGCCTTGGGTTTGGAGTGAGCAGTTCTGGGCTCGAGTGTCCACCTAGGCTTCTTTGGGAGGGGGGCACCTAGGTGGCACAGTAGACTGGGACAGCTTGCTGGACATGGAGTAAGGACGACTGGAGTTCAAATCCTATCTCAGACACTAGCTTAGAGCCTATGCAACTCACTTAACTTCCCTCAGCCTCAATTTCCTCATCTGTAAAATATGGATAGTAATAGTGACACTTACCTCCCATGGTTGTTCTGAGGCTCAAATGGCATAATATTTGTAAAGTGCTCAGCACAGTACCTGGTGCTTAGTAGCTGCTATATGAATGTTCATTCTCTTCACCCTACAGTGAGAAGGGTGGACTGGATGAGTTCTAAGGGTCTCTTCCATCAAGGGTGAATAAGACTAGGGAGCCAGAGGGTCTCAGAATTAGGTGGGAGAGGACTAGCATTCTGGAGCTCCCAGGCCTTGGGGAGGCCTATCAGATCAAGGAGAGAAGCAAGAATCTGGGCTGAATGTTGGGGATGGGGGGTGGAGGCTTATGAAGTAGGAGGGAGACAGCTCATTGAGGCTGAAAGCCCTTTAAATCTGGAATCAAAAGACCTGGGTTCAAATCCCATTTCTGCTAGTTGGGAGCTATGTGACCCTAGCCAGGCAACCTCAGTTTTCTCTTCTCTAAAGTGGGCATAATAATACCTCGGCTCTTAGAGCTGGAGACCTCCAGCACACAACTGAGCACAACTGTTCATTAAGCATCTACTATGTACCAGTCACCGTGAAATTCACTGGTATACAAAGATAGACAAAGACAAAAACAAAACACAGAATGAGAACATTGGTAAAGTGTTCAGTGCATTGCCTGGCCCATAGTAGGAGCTATAGATAATATATGCTTATTTCCTTCCCCAGTCCCTGACCTCGGGAGAATGACCTGGATATGGACCCAGCTATGCTTTAGAAAGATTATTCTACTTATTAGCCAGGGGACCTTGAATTTAACAAGCATTTTGTTTATTAAATGCCTACTATGTGCTAAGCACTGCATTGGCTGCTAAGGCTACAAAGACAAAAATAGACACAGTTCCTGCCTTCAGGTAGTTTCTAATCTATTGGAATGTTGAACTGGAAGGCTTCTGAGGTCCTGTCTAGCTTTAGCTAGGTCCTACAAATGTGGGCACAGATGCATAAATGCAAATATTATCAAACGATCCTCATTCACAGCCCTGTAAGGTGGGTGCTTCATTATTCCCATTTTTCAGATGAGGAAACTGAAGTTGAGGGAGGTTAAATAGCTTGCCCAAGGTCACTCATCTCGTAAGTGTCTGAGGTAGGAGTAGAAGTCAGATCTCCCTGGCTCGGCACTCACCCGGGATGCCACCTGAGAGGTTCAAAATAGGTAATTTGGGGGTGGGCGGAGCACCAACAATCAAGACAAGAAAAGCCTTGGGATGGAGAAGGCACCTGAGCTGGGCCTTAGGGAGACTCTTCTTTACACATTTTCTCAGCTGTAAAATAAGAAGGATGAGATGGTCTCTAGTCCCTTCCATCTCTAAGCCCTATGACCCTAAGAGATCCCTCCCAACTTGGAGATCAGGGAAGGCTTCCTGGAAGAGGTGCCCCCTGAGCTGGACCTTAACAGATGGGGAAGATGTGGGTAGCCAGGGATATACGGACATGGAATGGGAGCCTCTGGGAAAGAATAGGGCTGGGTTGAGGCAGAATGGGGAGGAGGTGGGGGTGAATTTGAGAGGGGAAAAGGATGCGTGTTGTTGGACAACTCAAACCAAAGGCAGTAGTCTTTGAGGCTCAAGCTAAGAGGGGCCCTTATCAATGCTGAGTATCAGGGTGAGTGGAGCAGAGGAGGCTGGGAAGTGAGCCCAGTGTCTCTCCTCAGCTATTCCCCAAACCCTGACCAGTAATTCTTTGTCTTCTCCAGGGAGACTCTGGGGGACCTTTGGTGTGTAATGGAATAGTCTATGGTATCGACTCCTTCATTCGAGGAGGTTGTGGCTCCGGCTTCTACCCTGACAGCTTCACCCGGGTCTCCCAGTACGTCCAGTGGATTAACTCCGTCCTCCAGCGTTCCACAGGCTATGCCCAGTGGTCCTGGAGAAGGACAGTCACACGGAGGCAGAAGCTTTTCTAACCTACTTATCCTCTCCCCACCATGCTGCTGCATTCCTGTGTATACTTTCCCATACCACAAATGCAACAATAAAATTGTCTCCCAATTATCTTCTCCAGCTGGCATTTGAAAGTTCTACAATGAATTTCTTCTCTCAAAGTAGGCATGCTGTCACCAGGTGGCAGTCAAGTCAAAGTGGTCTGAGCCTAAGGTGGGCTTCTGAGATTCCAGTTTTTCTAAGGAAATAGTCCTTTCACTATTAGGATGAAGAGGTCTATTATTAAATAGCACAGAATGTCAGAAGTCATGGAGTCCAACCTCTACCTAAACAAGATTGTTCTCTATATTATTCCTGGTAAATAATTATCTGACCTACACTTGAAGACTTTTAGGAATCATATTTTAGTCCATCCCAGATGTTTTGGGGATTCAGAGTTCTCCACAGAAAAGGCAGATCAGTCAATGATGCAAGAAACGAGGGGCCTTTAGCTGGCCCCTTTTTAACTTACGTAAGGGAAAGTGTGAGTTTTAACCTATACAGAAAAAAAAAATCTTACTGGGCACAAATATGCCAGAGACAAATTTAATTCAATTCTAAGCATGGTAACTTAGAGAGGGAAGAATCTAAAAAGGGCAGAGTTTCCCCAAGCCTTTGAATATCTTTTGGTCCAACCACTGGAGCATACAGTTTTATAAGATACAAGAACAAAGACAAAATTCCATAATCAAGATAAAAGAGGCATGCAAAATGTAGGTAACAATTTAAAGTCTAACAATACAACAAGTTATTTGACTGGCCCACTCTAGAGAAACATTTTCCTAAAAATCATTTAATCCTTACTGAACCATGCCTAAGGATTCTCCTTTCACCCTAGTCAAAGGTCAACTCAAGAGATAACTCTATTGATTTAATCAATTAAAAGATACAGTATTGTTGTTCAGCCATGTCTTACTCTTTCTTCATGACCTCATTTGGGGTTTTCTTGGCAAAGATACTGAAGCCATTTGCCATTTCCTTCCCCAGTTCATTTTGCAGATGAGAAATTGAGGAAAACAGAGTTAAGTGACTTGCCCAGGGTCACACAGTTAGTAAGTGTCTGAGGTCAAATTTGAACTCAGGAAGAGGAGTTCTTCCTGACTTCAGACCCAGCACTCTATCATCCACTGTGCTACCTAGCTGCCACTGTTCTTAGTATGATCCTTACCCTAATCAGTTTCTGGAAGGACTCCTTCTTCGACTGATAAAGCCTATGCTTTTAGAAACCAGTTAGGCTTTCCATAAGAATTATGCACAAAGGACTTTAGAACTGGACAGTCCTCTGCATTGTCTTTTATTCAAGGGAATACTGATTAGATCTTCCATTTTAATGGGAACAAGGACACTGAAATCAGATTATTCCTTACTATCTCTAAAGGAGGGAAAAGAGGTGTTTAGTAAGCTTCCATATCTAGGGTTATCTGGAATGGGCTCCTGAGAAAGTATACACCTGAATCAGTCATCAAAGAAGAGACAAGGATAGAACAGGTTTTCACCAAATGAGGTAATGATGGGGTGCTTGGTTGCCTGTACTTAGACCATACTTCCAAGATTATATTTCTCCCTAGCCTCAGAAACACTATCCCTGACAGTTTCCCTCCAGCCCAAGGACCCTATCTCTGACAGTGACTCATGAGTGGGCCCAGTGAGGCAAACTATTTCTCCCTGTTACAAGAACAAGCTGACCTCTGTAGAATTACCCTTGTACTGTCTTGTAACAACAAAACTATCAAGGACTGATGCCCACAGTTACTGTATACAATCCAGAAATCAAGCTACAGATGTCAACTCCTGATGCTATCTTGTTTCAGACATAACAGATCAAAAATCTACCCTTTAGGAATCCTCTCCCTCTGCGCCCCACCCCCCACTCCTCTCAATTTCCAGTAGTGAATGATGTAGTTGTATGTTATCACCTAATTAGCATACTTGCCACATAATTCACTACTTTTCCTGTATAAGCTTTAGCATCATTCCTGTTAGGTTGCAAATTCCCTAAGGAACTCTGCCCACCATGGCAGGTTCCTTGAGAACCAAAGAAATCGAAAACAAAAGAAAGAGATCTATGATTAAATAACTGAGGAAACAAAAGTTTAAGCTTCTAAACATATCAATTTATTAAGCAATGCATGCCAATTGCATAACAAATCAGGACCAGGCCTCCTCAGCTTGGCACTGGACCTCCAAATACTAGACAGATTTTTATTCATTAAAAGAAAACAACTAACAGGATATAAACCAGCATATAAGATCAGGTTATATGATTTCCAATTGGAGGAAAGATTAGAGGTTTCTGGGTTGGGAGGGGGAGAACAAATAAGTACAATTCCCAGAAATCAGAAAAAGAGGTGTCCCACTGACCCCCAAGTGTCTGTATTTAATCAAAGGAACAAGGAAACAGTAACTGATTGACCAATATGAGGCCAGATTTCAGATGAGACATATGGGTTGCTTGAGATGTATAATAGTGAGAAAACTCCTTGCAGATCCTTTGTATCTGACTGGGTTTCTGGCCAGCATGACCTAGGTCCTTAGTTAAGGGTCTCCAAGCAACAGGTAGAAGTGGTCCAGCTTCCCAGACACATAGGGTTAAGTTCAAACAATGCAATAAAGTTTTCTCATAAGACAGAAATTAGATTAGACCCATTGATGAATAGACAGGGAATCTAGAACAGAGTTACAAGATGAAGTCATTGTGGTTCACTCAATTTCCACACCTGAGAGCAGGGACTGATTTTTTTACCTTTCTTATATCCCTACTGCTTAGCGAAGTGCCTGCATATAGTAGGTCAAACAAGCTTTGAAAGATAATAGAGGATAGAAGGGCTTGGCATGCTCTGGTCCATGGGGGTCACAAAGAATAGGACACAACTGAACAACAACAACCATGCACCACAACTTGTTTCACCATTCCCTAGTAGTGGGAGAACACCTTAATTTCCAGTTTGGGGCTGCTATGATAAGAACTGGTATAAATAATTTTGTACAGATCACTGTGGGAGTATTAAGAAAGGATGAGTATTGAGAAAAGTCCATTCGATCTGGCAATTAAAAGATCACTGGCAACTTTGGGAGGGAAGTTGTAATTGAATGATAAGGTAAGAAGCCAGACTTTACAGAATTAAGAAAACAGTGAAAGGAAAAGAAGTAGAGCCATTGATTATAGATAACCATCTCAAGTTTAGCCACAGAAGGGAAGATGGATATCAGGGCCAGGAATTAGTGGGAATGAATAGATGGACACCACCAACCTTATGATAAAGAGGCGATGAATTCAAAATGCAGAAAAACAAACACCTTTTTTGGATTTAGCTAATGTGGAAATGGGTGCTAGGTGGTGTCATATAGCACAGAGTGCTAGGCCTGGAGTCAAGAAGACTCATGTTCCTGAGTTCAAATCCAGCTTCAGACACTTACTAGCTGTGTGACCCTGGGCAAGTCACTTAATTTCTCATTGACTTAGCTTCCTCATCTGTAAAATGGAGATAATAATAACTCCTACATCCCAGAGTGGTTGTGAGCATCAAATAAGAAAATATTTGTAAATTGCTTAGCACAGTGCATGGCACATAGTAGATGCTATAGATGCTTATTCCCTTCCCCTATATTTTGAGGGCTTCATTTTTGGGGAGATTTGGAGGTTTTGTTTACTTGGACTTTTTTGCTCACCTGGGGAGTTGGAGGAGATAATGGAAGGGACAGATTGCTTTTTTAAATGCTTAATTGAAGGAACAGAAACAATAATAATAAACTATTTTTAAAAAGAAGGCAATGATTATATCTACCCTAAGTTTTCTGTTCTCCAGATTTAACCTCCTCAACTCTCTCATTGATCCTTGTGGTTTTTTTTTCCACATCTCCTCACCATCCATGTCATCCTTTACTGACCCAGAGCCCTTCCTAAAATTTAACCCCAGGAATGGGGACGATACTCCAGGTGGGATCCGATGAGGGCAAAACTCGATAGACATGAACCAGACACAGATACATACTTCAGGGCACAAGCAGAAACACACCCTGTTGAGAGGTTAAGTCATTCTCTATCTATACACTTCCTACACTTGCCTCTAATCTCTGCCCTACTCCATATCAGTGAGAAGACAGTGTCCTTCATAAGAACTCACGTCTGCACATCTGCCTCAGGCAGGGAGAGGATCCCCCTTTGGGAGGAAGGTCCTGACCTGCTCCTCTGGGGTCCCAGTCTCATCCTGGTACGAGGAGAGAGTTCCCCTTGGGTTTTGGAAACTGGGTCTTTCGTCTGACGATCTATGGTGCAATGGAGAGGTCACTGGACTGGGAAGCAGGAGACCTGGTAATGACCTTGTGTGGCTTTGAGAGAGGCACTGTAATTCTCTAGCTCTCAGTTTCTCCCCGGGAGATCAGAGCTGTCCTGCATCTCATTACTTAGGGACCAGGCTCTCTTTGCTTCCCAAAGTAATAAACAAGTTCTGGGTTAATGAGAACCAGCTCTTCTATCCCTGACTTTTTCGGTAACTCTTTCTGTTTGTCTCTTTATAATGGATGCATGAATGTCAGGGCTGGAATGGACCTTGGAACATTGATTGCCATGACTGCCAAATGATCAGGTTGGATAGATAAGCTCAGAAAAGGGAAGAGATTTTCCCAAGGTCACATAACAAGCTGAGACTTAACTATGGGGAAGGTTTGGGAGGAGAGAGGAGGTGAAGGAAAATGTGAAGAGAACTCCCTTTTTCTCCACTAATGTGTAGCTAGGTGGTGCAATGAAAAAGCCTGGGCCTAGAGTCTAGAAGTTCAAATCCAGCCTCAGGCACTTACTGGCTTTGTGACCCTGGGCAAGTCACTTCACCTCCACCTGCCTCAGTTCCCTCCTCTGTAAAATGGGGATAATAACAATAACATCTACCTCCCAGAGTTGTTGTGAGAATTAAATGAGATAATAGTAAAATGCTTATCCCAGTGCCTGGCACATAATAAATACCATAAATGTTAGCTATTACAATTATTAATAATAGGAAAAGGAGGAGGGAGACAGCATGGTATAATGGAAATTATACTGGATTTGAAGTCAAAGGGTGAGTGTGAATCTTGGCTCTGTTGCTTACTTGCTGTGTGATTTTCTTTAGCTCCTCCCCTCTCTGGACCTCAGTTTCCTCGTCTGTAAAATAAGGCAACTAGACCAGATCATCCTCAAGCTCACTTCCAGCCAAAAGTATACTGACAAATGTTTAACAAGCAGCTCTGCAGGAATCTTTTTTAAAAGGAAACAGGGGCAGCTAGGTGGCACAGTGGATAGAGCACCAGCCCTGCAGTTAGGAGGACCTGAGTTCAAATCCAGCCTCAGACCAAACACTTGCCACTTGCTTGTTGTGTGACCCTGGGCAAGTCACTTAACCCCAATTGCCTAAAAAAAAAAAAGGAAACAGGACCCCCTTTTAAGTTTAACTACATTATTTACATTTTTTCCTTCACTTTCTTAAGTCTAGACAACCAACAAAACAATAAATCAAGTCCTGATTTGTAGCATTTGCCAGTTTCCTAGGTATAAGTGTTCGTATTGAAAATTTAACAATCAGCTGTCACCCTTGCAGGCTGGCTCCAGAAACCCACTGCTTCTAGACCTAGTCTTGTGACTAAGGGAAGGGAATGGTGGGGAAGCAGAGGGAGTAGAACAAGAATATTATTATCTATGGGTCTGGTTTTCAAATTTGTTATTAGATCATTTTTCACTTGTGTCAGACTCTTCATGACCCCCTCTGGGGTTTTCTTGGCAGAGATACTAAAGTGGTTTGCTATTTCCTTCTCTAACTCGTTTTACAGGTGAGGAAACTGAGGCAAACAAGGTGAAGTGACTTGCCCAGGGTCACACAGTTAGTCAATGTTTGAGGCCAGATTTGAACTCAGGAAGAAAAGTCTTCCTGACTCCAGACTGGGCACTCACTTTATCCATGGTGTCACCTAGCTGCTCTGAGTCACTTAACTGCTGTAGGTCTGGGAGAGATTGGAAAAGCTAAAGCTAAACCTTGACTGTGAGGTGGGAGGGTGGGAAGAACAGGGGAAGTGGTGAAAGGGGATGGGGGGAAGGAGAAGAAAAAGGGGAAGAGAGAAGGGAGGGGGAAGGCAGTGGAGGAGGTACAGAGGAGGAGAGAGAGGGAGGAGGCAAGGAGGGGAAGGAGTGGGTCTCCACGTGCCCTGGCATCCATCCCCCTGCTCAGGTCATCCCAGGTTCTTCTGTTTCTCTCCACGGCTCCTCAATGACGGAGGCTCTAGATGTGTACTTTCCCTACCCCCCACCCCCAGAAGCTTTTGCCAAGTCTTTCTTCTTGGGAAATCATGGACTTTGCTACAGTCCTGAGCCCTGTTACAAGTCGAAGCCTGCTAGATCCCCAGGATCCGCCCCGTGTCAACATTAGTCCTCATAAAGGCCCCTGTCCCTGTTCGTGCTCTCTGAACTTTGAGGCAGGAAAGGCACAATGATGATGCCTTGGGCACGGCTGGCAGCACTGCTCCTCCTGGGGGTGGCAGCCTGTGGTGAGTAAGGTGGGCCTCAGGGCTGTTCCCCCACCCCAGCAAACCAGCAGAAGCGGCTGGGTGCTGTGGAAAGAGCCTTCAACTCTAGTCAGGAGACCCAGGTCCTAGTCTAAGCTCTACCATTAATTGCTGTGTGACCCTGAGTCGGTGGCATCAGGCAGATAGATGGTAGGGGCCAGGCTAGAACTTGTCTCCGACTGTAGCATTCTATGATTCTGTAAACTAAGTCCTCAGTTGGGTGGGTGGGTGGGAAATGTTCTGAACTCAGAGGCAGGATCTGGGTAACTGATTCTTTCAGTGTGACTTTGGGCAAGTCACTTGTCCTCTCTGAGACTCAGTTTCCTCACCTGTAAGATGAAATTAATAATAGTCCTCAAGGCTATGGTGAGGAAAGAGCATTGTACACCTTAAAAAAAAAGACCCAACCCTCCCCCCCAAAAAAAAGCTCTAGACCCTAAGCAGGATAGGGGTGTTTAGTTCTCTTCAATTTAACAAATGTCCACTATGTGAGGAGGCCCTGTGCTATGGCTAGGAAACTGAAAAAGAGCACATTTTACCGCCAAGGAGCATACAGGGACTTATTGTCATCTGTGGACAGTGAGGTGATACAGCGGATAGAGCACTGGACCTGGAGTCAGGAAGACCTGAATTCAAATCTGGTGTCAGATATTTACTAGTTGCGTGACCCTGGGCAAGTCATTGAACTGCTGTCTGCCTCAGTTTCCTCATCTATACAATGGGCATAATAATAGGCCCTTCTTATCCTGTTATGAAGATCAGGAGTGATATTTGTAAAAACACTTTGCAAACCCTATGTAAAAAGCACTTTGCAAATACTATGTTTGCTATTAATTTGCTATGTGTTTGCCAGAATAATAGCTATTTAGCTATCACTGTGGTTTGTGTGCAAACAACTATGATACAAGGGAGCATGAGAGCAGTGCAAAGAAGAGATTCAAACTGAAGCTCTGTGAGAAGCTGGGGGAGGGAAAGACCCTTTTTACTTGTTCAAGTCAGAAGAGGCTTGAGAGAGCAAGACCTGAGCTGGGCCATGAAGGAAGACAAGGGATTCTGAAAGGGGGAGCTGAGAAGGGAGTGCATTCCAAGTATGGAAGGTTAGGAATGTGGAAGGAGGGGATTGGCCAACAGAGTGCCCTGTCTGGATGCAACATGGAGAAATATTTCCAAGGGGAAATCAGGCTCAGAGCCAGAGCTTACTGAGTCCATCTCCTTTATTTTACAGGTGAGGAAACTGAGGCACAAAGAGTATCATGGGCTCCTAGTCTAGCCATGGAAAGGTTCTTAGAAATTAGCAAGTCCAGGCTTAGATTCTTAAAATCTAGCCACTGCTCAGATTCTTAGAATCTAGACAATAACTCACAGACTCAGATTCCTCAAGATTCTCCCCAGTATGATGGATGTTCTAATAAACTTTGTCTTTGGCTGAAAAAAAAAATTAGTAAGTCCATCCTCTTTATTTTACAGGTGAGGAAACTGGGGTACAAAGAGTATCATAGATAGATCTAGTCATGGAAGGGACCTTGGGGGTCATCTGGTCCATTCCTCTCATTTCACAGGTGGAAAACAGCTCTAGATTTGCACTCAGAGGACCTGGGTTCAAATCCCCAGCTCTGCTAATTATCCTACCATGTGACTGTGGGCAGGTTATTTAGCCTGCCTGGGCCTCAATTTCCTCATCTGTAAAATAAAATAAAATAGCTTCTGAGGTCCCTTCCAGTGTTAGAACTAGAGGTCCATGATACTCTTTGGTCGTCAAGTTTCCCCTAATGTTGCCCAACAGTGCAGGTGTGAGGATAGGGGGAGATTCTTTCAAAGTCTGGAAAAGTCAGGGCCAGGCATGAGGGAGGGGGTGTCCTGCCTGTGCACTAGCTGTCCCCCAGGCTCCTCCCCTCAGTTTAAGCGCAGTCTTCTCTGTGGAGCCTTTCCTGATCCCTCCACCTGGTCTAGAAGCCCTCCCTTTCTTGGATTCAAACACCCCATCTTTATTTTGTACTCACTGCATACGTACTGCAGCATGTATACATCATCTCTCTCAATAGAATGCAAACTCCTTAAGATTGGGGATAGTTTCATTTTTTGTCTTTATCCCTAGTGAACAGCACAGTGCTTGGCATACATTAGGGGCTTAATAAATGTTCGATGGTTGGCTGGCCGATGGAGGCAGGAGGCAGTAAGCCCCAACCCAGCTGCTTTCCCTCACAGACTTCTTGTCTCCGCAGCTGCCCGCCCACGAGGAAGGATTCTAGGGGGCAGGGAAGCCGAACCCCACCTCCGACCATACATGGCATCCATCCAGGTAGATGGGAGGCACCTGTGTGGGGGCTTCCTCTTGAACGAGTGGTGGGTAATGAGTGCGGCCCACTGTGTGGAGGAGATGTGAGTTTGGGGGGCAGAGGTGGGGCTGGTCTGTGGGAATAGGGATGGACTAGGGAGATGGGTGGAGGACAGGACAGGGGGAGAAAGTAAGATTGGGAAGGCTGAGATGGGAGGAAAGCGGAAGAAGTAGGGAATGGGTGTCAGGGATCTGGGGGGAAATAGGACCCCAGGAAAAGGACAGGCTTCCGGTCACTGTCTCCTCCTCGTATCCCCTCCCCATCCCCCCCAATTCCCTTGACTTAGAAAGGGCCAATATGGGCATAGCAGTGAGTGGGTACATGAATGAGGTCACTTAGGTCTATAACTTCCAAACCCTTCTTTAGGTCACCAGGAGCAACTGTCCAGGTGCTGCTGGGAGCTCACTCCTTGTCCCAGCCAGAAACTTCCAAGCATCTCTATGAGGTCCGAAACCTCTTTCCACACCCAGACAGTAACCATGATAACATCCACCATGACATTCTTCTCATCCAGGTCAGTAGGATCCCTTCCCCCCACTGCCACCCCCACCCCTGCTAGAAAAGCCCAGGGGTTCTGGTTTTCATTGGGGATCTCAAAGCACATAAATTACCCAGCCCTTCTCCTTCTCCTCCCCTGGGGAGTGGGGATGAGTGCTCCTCCAGGAATCAGTACACCTAAGTTTTTAAGAGATTTCAAAGCACTGAATTTTCCCTCTTAAAATCCCTAGTTGTACTTTTTTTCCCCACCAAAAGTCAACTGGAGAGCCACCTCCTACCTCCTTTTCCTGATCATTCCCCACCCCAGCTTCCAGAACCTCCCCCCCAAATTGCTTTGTATGGACTTCGTATGTACTGATGTTAGTGCACATTGTCTCTTCTGATAGATTACAAGCCTTTTGAGGGCAACCTGGCCCATAATATGCCCTTATTAAAGGTTTGCTGCTTAAAACATGAGATAGGGTACTCACAGCCCAAGCTCTTAAGCCTGTGATGGCCTAGAACACGCAGTAGTTTGAGCAACTCAGCCTAACCTCATTCCTTTCTGTTAGGAAACAAGGTGAGGCTCCTCAGCTGTTTGGTGCTTTGAGATCCTCAGCATCTGGCTTCAGTCCCCTCTTCTCCAGCTAGCACGGGCATAGAGGGGTGGGGAGCTGGAGGCGAAGGGGGTGGGCGCAGGGATGGGGCTCTGAGGATGGATTTGCAAGCCTCCCTTCCTCCTCCGCACCCCTAGCTGGCTGAGAAGGCGACCCTGAGCTCCGCGGTGCAGCCCCTCCCGTACCAGAGGGGGGCCAGGGATATAGCCGGAGGCACGCTCTGCTCGGTGGCCGGCTGGGGCATCACCAGCCACGCGGGCCGGAAGCCGGACCGGCTGCAGCAGGTCGAACTGCCCATCATGGACCGGACCGTCTGCAATCAGCGTATCTACTACGACAATGACATCACCGACAAGATGATCTGTGCTGAAAGCCGCAAGAAGGATGCTTGTAGGGTAAGGGGCTGGGGAAGGAGCCTTGGAGTGGGGTCGGGGCGTCATGGTGGAGGGAGGCTGGTGGTGGATGGAGTCTTGATATGGGGCGGGGCCAGGTTAATAGGGTGGGCCATGGGAGGGGTTGGGGGAGGCCTGAGTCATTCGTATGCGGGCTTTGACTGCTGGAGGAGGAACCTTGGATGATGGAAACTGGCCTGGAAGATGGGAGTGTAGGGCCTGGGTCTGGGTCTGGGTCTGGGTCTGGGTCTGGGTCTGGGTCTGGG